TGAAAATCGTGGAATTGTCGAGAACTTTGTGCACTAATTAATTAGTGAGTGGATGACGCTGCGTTAGGATTTTTAGGTTAGGATTAGGTTTTATTCAAATTTAGGTTAGGTTAGGATTTTTTACCTTTCCGCGAGCATCGCAAAAGAACATAATTATATATGGTCTTTTAAATCGTATTCAGATGCACAAGGGACTGTTTTTATTCACAAGTTGTAACTTGCTAGTGTAAATGGGGTTTTGTTTTCGATTGACGCGACGTATTGTCCGCATGCTCTCAGTTATGTGTCTCTTACTTAATATCTCCAAGTAGCTCCATGTCATGGCCTTTCTGCCGCTTTGCAAAGACTTCTGACTAAAAATGACAGGCCTTTGGAAATTAAAACGCTGTTTTCTCGGGCCTAAGAGGCTTAAAAAGTATCCATTCAGCGTGGGGAACTCTTCGTCGTTCTTGAAGATAGCGTTTTAACAATTTAACTGCATATTTTCGTCGTAAACAATCTCCTTTGGTTATATACTTTATCTTTGCAGAAGAAGAGAGTGAACAGATTTATCTCCTGGCTACGACGCCATTCCATTCAGAAAGCTTTTTTAAAAAAACTCTCTGGTTATTTGGCATTGTCTTATTTTCATAAATATTGTTACACCCTCACAGAGAACGCTGACGAAATAACTCAGTCCAATTTATAGAGACTCACCGCCAGTCTCTCCAACTGTTACTTCAACTGGCCGGCCACTCCTAGTATTGTATTTTGCTTCATGCTTCACGAATTACACAACCCGCCACGAATAGCCTTTGCTACTTGAGGGTTGTGTTCTAATTCTATTTTGTAACAAGGATTTTGAAATAAAGTTGTTGTAAGTTGTTGTTGGTCCCATCATGCCTAGCAGGCCTAGCAAGGACAAAGAATAAACTGACCTACAGACGGATCCTGATCATGTAGCTAATGTGAACGACAGGATGTACAGACGGTTGCTGTTATCATAGACCAGTAGGTACAATTGTGAAATGCAATTCCCCAAACCTTACCCCCGACAGTCAAGTGTCGGAGCTTGTTGTTCACAATATACAACCGACAGTCAAATAACCTGCTTTGAAGTATTTGAGGAAAAGATAACAGATAAAGAGGCTAAAAGTGGTGGTTTGAGTTGAATCCAGAAATATTCAGCTAGGCACATGGGAGGGTCGAAAAAAAAAAGGTAATCAGTGGACTAAACGGAGCCTGCGTGGCAGACGTTCCAAAGCCGAGAAGTAACCATTATTTAACAATTAAGTAAGTAAGCAAGGTTCAATCTCAACATCATCGCAAATTAATGAATCAGTGCAACGTTGTTACAAGCATTCTTAAAAATAAGATTACAAGCAAATCGTATAAAAAAAGGGACTGGTTTACAATAATGACGATGATATGTAATCGAATTACCAAGAATTCCAAAACGATTTTTAATATATATATCTAGCTGATTTTTTGAAAAACAACCTAACGAAATTTGCAGTCATTTGAGTGAAAAGGTGTCAAAAGGCAGGTTTCTTAAGCCCGTCAGAAGCTCCAAAATCATATATAGTAACGAAGGAAAAGAAAAGCAGAAAGGGCGAGGAGAAGAGAAAAAAGCAATGGCTGCACTCTTAGTTTTTATAATGGCTACTTTGGAGACAGTTTTTGGTCCAAATAATTAAACTGTTGGACGCAAAAGCTCCATTTGACGATAACGTTGTCAAAGCTCCGGCTAGATCAAAAAAAAAGAAAATTGTCATACATGCAACTGATATGATCTATGCAGACTCGATTATTTAAAGTTAAGATTGTACTTGGAAAGAAACTACGAAGTAGTCTTTCAGTCCTACATTTCGGCATCGTAATATAGATCTCTGTATCAGTGGCTCGTATTATACTGTTACATGAAACATTTCTGCAATTTGAATGGCTAAGAGCGGTGGTATTTCAGCTTAATTTGAAATACCTACCTATGAAAATTACAACCCTTTTGCGGGTAGTAGTATAAAAAGAAGAATAGCATGATTTATACGTGATATTAGGCATAAATACCACGAGTGAAATTTCAAAATTGTCTCAAATTTCACCCGCCTAACGGCTCGTGAAATTACGTATAACAATTTTGAAATATCACTCGTGGTATTTATGCCAAATATCACTACAAATCATGCAATTACCTATACTAATTGATGATGCACACAAACCCTCGACTTAGGTCTGAAAATGTTTATAGAGTAGCTCCCTTTTGAAATCTTTTTGAAGGTGCTTACCCATAGTTCACTGCGTCTTTCGTCTAATCTAGGTAAGTTAAGAAAAAGAAGAGCTTCTCATGAAAGCGCAGGTACAGGCACCCAGGGTACTGCACCCTGGTCTGCACACGGGACACTAGACTCTGAACTTAGGACTTGCTAACAATAATATAATAATTACTCCGGAATCACCCCCCCAAAGAGAGGATAAAGCTATCTTTCCCTCCCCTAAAACAAAATCAACCCTCCCGAGCCACCATTTAAAATTTCGTAGAAAAAGAAAGAGAAAATGTGTTTATGGTGGAACACCCATGAGGGACATAGTTGGACCGCTCCGTAGAGTGGCCCTGGACTGGACTCCCGACTGGACCAGAGAAAGGACTCTGGAATCTGGACCCTGGACCATCACAGGGGTGATCCATGGACCCGGCATCCATGTTTTGTATACATCCTGGAAAAAAGACGAGCGGGTGGGTTACGGGTGAGAGCGAGGGAACGCCTGAAGTACTTTTAACAAAAGCTCGTTCCGGTATACCAGATTCTGGTACACCCTAGGCCTATGATTGGTCTATTTTGACATCTCTTGTCAGCACTCGGAGGTTCATTACCTTGATTACAAATGTGATGCGGTAGCAATGAGATGTTACACAGCAAGTTATCTCGAAAGCGTGGTGAAGTGTTTCAAAATAAGCAACATCATTCCCGAAGAACAAGAAAAATCTTTTTGAGGCTGGACTGAAGTCGTCAAATGAAAGTAGGGCTTCGAAATTTTACCATTTATTGGCTTTCAAATGAGCTCTTTTCTTTCAGTTCTCTTCAGAAATATGAAATGCGCGAGTGAATCTTCTATTGATATGAGTCTTTGTTTAGCCTGCGAATACAGCTGTTTCTCCTTGCTCCTCGCCAATAGGGACATTTCTTCTTATGTCGCTACTCAAGTACAACAGTTTAATAGAGTTGGAGTCGCTACAACAGTAGGGAGGCGTGGACGAATTGGCTGTGATTCTGCTGGCAAAATCTTGAAATTCAACTTCATTTTGCCGGCGGAATCTTGAAAATTCAAGATAAACCAGTAAGAAACCACGATAAAAATCGTTAAAATGCGAGGAACTACTATATGAAAAAGGACAATTTCACTCCTCCCATGGAGTGTTTTCAGAAATCACTTAAGGGAGCTTGTATATACCTCCCTTGGTTGCCTCGATCATGGCAAAGTTTGAACAAATTATGGAGCGTTTTGGAAATATTTTGAAACAAAGTTTCAAGGGCCATAAAAACATTGAATAAATATGCTATCGACATGCATAACTGGCTCATATCTAAAGAAAATGATGAGGTCTTGAAATGCAGTTTCGTCTCATAGCATAGCAATTAATTTCCGAAGATATCTCCGAATTATGCTAATGTAGGAGATCATGGTAAAGACAACATCTTTAGCGTCAGTTTTTCATCATGTGGGACGCAGAAATAAATCGCTTTGCAATAGTTTATTTGAATTTATGTTTCGTTTTTGCAATACCTGTTTTCAGTCAACTTATTTAGCTTTATTTTCATTGGTACGTAGACCCCTGAACATGACAGGAAAGTAATTGAGGATCCATCTGAATGCAAATTAGAACAGCTACGTTATGCAAATCAAGACCGATATTACAAATTATTACAAAATCGTCCACTGACGTTCTCTAAGCTTAAGGCAAAACTACGTTGAAACTTGTTTGAAGAAAAAGATGGCTTTTCGCCGCACCATAGGGATCAATGGGAATCTGAAAAAAATTATCCATGTTGCCTGTATGGATCATACAGATCGCGCTTTAAAGTTTTTAATATTTCATTCACACCTGGCATGGACTGAGGTTAATTAACTATCAGTTTTTAAGTAAAGAAAGAAATAATACAATTCTTTTCCTGTACAAAAACAAAAACGTTTACTTCATGCTTGTTTAAATTCTAGGAAACTACTTAACAGAGCTGATTACAATATTTAATGTGGAAAATAAAGCCAGGAAAAAGAAATACTTTCCCTTGGTTTGAAACAAAAAAGTTCAACTAGAAATTTCGTCTACCACTACCTTTGACGTGGGCTTGATACCTCAGAATCGCCGTTTCAAGACTGACATATACTGCTAGGAACCTTACGAAACTACAACGGTGACGGCAAGGAGAACGCCTAAATCACAATAGGCTTCAGTGAGTAAAACAACAGCTCCGGCTGCACGTGCATCACTTTTTTTTGCACATTTCTCCGCTGTCCGTGCACAACTACAACGTGGAATAGTCAATTTTTTTTTAGTTGACGGGCTTAAGAACTAGAACGACAAGGCGATAAATGTATTTACTATCCCTCTCTAAACTCGGACGCGGTCTCCTCTCTTCAGTTCCAACCTAACACATGTTCCGTACTTTCAATTCACTGGGCGACTTGGTATGAGGGCGAAAAAGTTTCAATGGCCGCGAAGTCTATTTTTCAGCGACGTTTTCATTGACGTCTCTGTTTTCGGATAGTAAGGTCAGTTTTGGATTGTATTCTCATCGTCCTTTGGTTCTTGTACCCTCCTTAAACACCAGTTCTTCCATAATATGATTTGAGACAAACCTCCTGGGAATTGCCGGCCCCAAAACTGCCGCCTGCGATACCTGACACAATCCGCTATCAAAAGCAGTTCTGCCAACTAATATTAACATCTATGTCCTTCAAAAATGATCAAGTGGAAGGCTCTACTCGGTTACTTTTCCGCCTAAATTAAACCACCTGACTGATAAGCCTTTTAACTCTTTCTTTATGTCTCTTTTGAAAAAAGCATAACACATTGGGTTAATGGCCGAGTTTAAAACCAAGACAGGAATTTTGTATTGTTCATCTTTACATGATGCATTTGTGTCGGATAGTACTACGAGACTACAACGCAAATATATTCCGTAGCACACTACAAACACTCCTATCACAATACCCATCATTATTACTGCAGACGTCTCGTTATGGGTTTTAAAAGATATCCCATGGTTAAAACGTAACTGTTTTGCTAGGGTGCGTGCTGACCGATCATGTTTCCATACATGAAGTAACATTGACACAAAACAGAATATCTGCAGAACGCATGGAACGATTTCCATGGAAATCATTAAAACCACAACTGCAACGATACTGGTCAGAGGGGTCTCACAGCAAAGTCGAAGTGCGGTCTTGAACGCAACCAGCGTAAATGACGCTATCCAACAGGAAGTTATCACTTGAATAACACGAGATCGAGTCACAAAAGTTATGTATTTAAAAGGCTTTACGATGGCGATATAACGGTCGAGCACCAGAGCACACAAGTTTAAAAAAGACAGGTAGCTAAACAGCCACCTTACGACATCTTTCCATGAAGGAAAAACCTGAGGCCAGTAGCAGGTGCTTGTAACGTCGCATACAAACAAAGAAGGAATAATGCTCAAACCAACACAGAAATCCGCTACTGCAAGTGAAACAATCAACGCGTTGGTTTTGGTGCGGAGATTTCGTCTGCTGCAGACGAGGAAGATTACAAATCCATTTCCAGTGATGGCAAGAAACGAAAGAACCCATCCAAGAATCCAAAACCAGGTCTCCATCCGTACTAAGGGCAGTTAAGAGAAGTTCTTATTAACTACAGATAAAAGAAAAATATCCTCTTTGCAAATATGTCAGGAGGTTTTGAGTTGTTCACTGGCAAATGTAAATTGTTACTAGACTGAAGTGCTTTTTATTGTCCTACTTTGTCATAAACTTGGTAATTTCTAATAATTATGTGTTTCGTATGCGCAGTAGGTATCTGACCGAACTGTCGCAACACAGTTGGTAGCAAAATGAGGATAGTTGGGTGTCTTAACCGCTGTAATTCAAAGCCAATGGGCGCTTTCAATACAACAAAAATTCCGGTTGAAATGTTGTTAATTCCAGTTGCCCAATTGAACTACATCGACCCGTGCAAAGCCTTGGCGCGTTTGTTTATTGTTCCTACAAAGGAGCGGTATTTGAGACAACAATTTTATCACTCCAACATTGCCGATCTTAATCGAAATTGCTCTGATCTGGCTGGATCTTAACTATTCTCTTTACAACTAAACCAGTCTGGTCTGTCAGTAATAACAGATGGAATTAACCGTGACCTTAGCCGTCATTAAAAAAAAATGTACCTTCACTTTAGTCTAAATTGAGGCCGACATATTTCCTACAAATTGCGACAGGTCTACTACAAATTACGACAAAAGTGCATTAATAAATAAAAAGCCAAGGCCGTCTCTTAAATATCACGTACAGCGCGTTACTAAATTTGCCTGAGAACGTTTCCACTGTTGTCGTTAACTATTCATGCATAAGCGAGAAAATAAAACAAGACCGATAGGAGCCAGCAGCATCACGGTAATCTGCCTAGACTGTTCCGTTTAACTCCACTGCTATACTAAATAGAGTATGCAATGGTTTTCAGTTAATAAAAAGAGCGAGGAAAAAAAATAAACTGATCACGATGTGAAACAGAAACACAATGTCGATAAGTTTTTAAAGGCAGTTCAACTGTGCAAAAAACACCCTCTTCAAAAAAACTTCTTGAATGTCTAACAGTTAATTAATTATTTATAGAACCTTGTTATTTTATAACCCTTTCAATATGTATATATATATATATATGGCGCAAGACGCCTGGGGTGTCGATATGATCTTTAAGAACTGTTTCACTAGCTCAGTTATCAATCAATTAACAATATTGTTTAGTTAGATGCCTTCTACTTTATTTTTATTTCGTACAGCTAAATTGGAAGGTTTTATTATTCATTCGGCATGCAACGATTTTAATATCGTTCCAGCCACAAGCAACTCGTCTATCCAATTTGCTGTTGGGCTTCCTTAGCAACCAATATTAATTTCTTTGTCATGATTTCCACAGAATTTTAAGGAAAATTAGTATTACTTTCGTGTAATGTTTGATAGCTACCTTTTTTTCTCCATAACAAGTCATTTTACACTTTACACGATTTTATCATTTCAGTCACACCTGCAGGACTGAGCTGAAATAAACTTGCACGGAAAGATTACAAAACAACTACATTTCTTTATTTGTGTTTTTCTCAACAAGGGAATTACTTCATATAACAAGAATATCGTACAGTTAATCTTTCAGTTCGGTTCGGTAAATTCTAGGAATCTATCGCCGTTAACAGAGTTGATTACGAAGGCTATTGAAGAAACAACCTCAGTGTGGAGGAAAATTGGCGCCAAGCCTTATGAAGTCACCGAACCTCGAACTTCTGAACTTGTCAATCTTCATTTCTCTTTTCAAACTGGTATTCAGAGTGTAAGCATCCGTTTCAGACTGAGATTGACAAACTGATGATTATAACCGATGAGCCCAATGTACAAAGCGCACGGCTATTAAGCCTGGGTTCCAAACTATATCCAAGCAACAAGCAGCACATGCTCACGCTATCTTTGTTACTCGATTGACACAGAGTCATGCTGGAGTATGCCAAAATCGAGCAAGTGAAGCAAAGCGGGCTTTGGTAGCAGGGTGTGAAATTGTACTCTCATGATGTGAAACTAAAAAGTTCCATCCAATAAGAACTTGTATTTCCCTTGTATTTTCTGTTAGGGTCAAAAGGTTTTTGTTTTCTCTCCTAATCGGCTCCAAATTTTCCAAATTTCAATTCGCTTTGAGTCCATGCCTCACTCATTCATCAGTCTTTTACTGAATTGCTCAAGCCTTTCACACTCGTTCATAAAAGACTTACATCCTACAAGAATGAGTTACGCACGTCAAGTGGTAGGTTTTAGTTAACTTTGTTATTTTCTATAAAACACAGCGCCAACGAGTCTTTTAAACTCTTTCTTTATGTCTCTTTTAAAAAAGGCATAAGCCAGTGGGTTAATAGCTGAGTTTAAAACCAAGAAAGTAATTTTGTAGTTTTCATCATTACATGGTGATGAGGATAGTATTAGAAAACTACAACGTAGATACATACCATAGCAAACAAGAAACACTCCTATCACAATACCCATCATTATTACTGCGGACTTCTCGTGATGGGTTTTAAACGATACCTGATGGTTAAAACGCAACTGTTTTGCTAAGGTACGTGTTGACTGATCATGCCTGCATACATGAAATATCATTGATACAAAGCAGAGCATTAATACAACACATGGAAGAAACTCGGAAATTATGGTCGGCCAAATAAAAGGACACTCGGAGGTATCGTTTTGAAATAAGACAATACAAAGGGTATTTTTTAGCGCATTGTAACTAACTGGTAGAGCCCAAGAGAAGAAAATAACTTGTGTAATTCGACGGCGAGTCATCAAAGTAATATATTTTAGAGGATAGACGATGGCAATAAAACGGTCCAGTACTAAGCCGCATAAGTTTACAACAGACGAGTGACTAAACAACAATCTTATAATATTCACCCACGATAACCAATAATCAGGCCAGTGGCAGGTGTTTGTAAATTCGCAAGCTAACAGAGAAGGAATAACGCTCAAACCAACACAGAAATCCGCTACCGCAAGTGATACCACAAACGCATTGGTTTTGGTGCGAAGATTTCGTCTGCTGCAAACGAGGAAGATTGTAAATCCATTTCCAATGATAGCCAGAAATGAAAGAACCCAGCCAAGAATCCAAAACCAGATCTCCATCTTAACAGTTAAAGGAAGTTCTTATCAACTGCAGAATATAACCAACATCTTGCGTAAATATCAGGGACACTGAAATCTTTTCCTATGTAAACGTTCTCTTTTGTTCCAATAAATTTGCATAGGTGCTGGCCACGTGAGTGAAAATGCCCTATTTGTTCTTTACATCGTCTTAATTTGCTAATTAATGTCATTAAATAATAGTTTGTATTGGGCTGTGTTATCACAAAAATGTGCATCAAGACAATAATACATTAATACTAAATGTTTCTTTGTGTGTTTGATAATAAAATAGCAATAAAATGTTGTAATAAATTCTTGGAATATAATACATTGTTAAAGGTGAAAGTGTTCTTTATCGCTTAATGTCAAAAATGTTGTTATGTAGCGTTTTTTAATGTACCGTTCCAGCGGTGGACATCTCGTCTACTCTTGCTAGGGTTTCCCATGGTCCCATGGGAAGGAGGGGGGGATGGAGGAATTCTTTAGAAATTTTTCGGGTGGTAATGTGCCGCTGGGACACTGGGACACCTAGTCTTTACTCCTGGTTCAGCTGAATTTTGGAAATATTTTGAAACAAAGTTTGAAGGGCCATAAAAAACATTGAATAAATATGCTATCGACATGCATAACTGGCTTATATCTAAAGAAAATGATGAGGTCTTGAAATGCAGTTTCGTCTCATAGCATAGCGATTAATTTCCGAAGATGTCTCTGAATTATGCTAATGTTGGAGATCATGGTAAAGACAACATCTTTAGAGTCACTTTTTCATCATGTGGGACACAGAAATAAATCGCTTTGCAATAGTTTATTTGAATTTATGTTTCCTTTTTGCAATACCTGTTTTCAGTTAACTTTTTTAGCTTTATTTTCATTGGTACGGAGACCCCTGAACATGACAGGAAAGTAACTGAGGATCCTTCTTAAAGCAAATTAGAACAGCTACTACGTAATGCAAATCAAGACGGGTATTACAAATTATTACAAAATCGTCCACTGACGTTCTCTAAACAGCTTTAAAACTTGTTTGAAGAAAAAGATTGCTTTTCGCCACCCCATAGGGATCAATGGGAACCTGAAAAAAAATATCCATGTTGCCTGTATGGATCATACAGATCATGCTCTAAAGTTTTTAATATTTCATTCACACCTAGCATGGACTGAGGTTAATTAACTATCAGTTTTCAGGGAAAGGAAAAAATAATACAATTCTTTTCCTGTACAAAAACAAAAACGTTTACTTCATGCTTGTTTAAATTCTAGGAAACTACTTAACAGAGTTGATTACAATAATTAATGTGGAAAATAAAGCCAGGAAAAAGAAATACTTTCCCTTGGTTTGAAACAAAAAGTTTCAATTAGAAATTTCGTCTACCACTACCTTTGACGTAGGCTTGATACCTCAGAATCGCCGTTTCAAGAGCAACTGACATATACTGCTAGGAACCTTACGAAACTACAACGGCGACGGCAAGAAGAACGCCTAAAACACAATAGGCTTCAGTGAGCAAAACAACAGCTCCGGCTGCACGTGCCTCACTTTTTTTTGTACATTTCTCCGCTGTCCCTACACAACTACAACGTGGAATAGTCAATGTTTTTTAGATGACGGGCTTAAGAACTGGAACGACAAGGCGATAAATTTATTTACTATCCCTCTCTGAACTCGGACGCGGTCTCCTCTCTTCAGTTCGAACCTAACACATGTTCCGCACTTTCAATTCACTGGGCGACTTGGTATGAGGGCGAAAAAGTTTCAATGGACGCGAAGTCTATTTTTCAGCGACGTTTTCATTGGCGTCTCTGTTTTTGGATAGTAAGGTCCCTTTTTGGATTGTATCCTCGTCCTCCTTTGGTTCTTGTCCCTCCTTAAACACCAGTGCTTCCAAACTATGATTTGAGACAAACCGCCAGGGATTTGCCGACCCCAAAACTGCCGCCTGCGATGCCTGACACAATCCGCTATCAAAGGCAGTTCTGCCGACCAATATTAAGATCTATGTCCTTCAAAAATGATCAAGTGGAAGGCTCTACACGGTTACTTTTCCGCCTAAATTAAACCAGCTGACTGATAAGCCTTTTAAACTCTTTCTTTATGTCTCTTTTGAAAAAAGCATAAGACATTGGGTTAATGGCCGAGTTTAAAACCAATACAGGAATTTTGTATTGTTCATCTTTACATGATGCATTTGTGTCGGATAGTACTACGAGACTACAACGCAAATATATTCCGTAGCACACAACAAACACTCCTATCACAATACCCATCATTATTACTGCAGACGTCTCGTTATGGGTTTTAAAAGATATCCCATGGTTAAAACGTAACTGTTTTGCTAGGGTGTGTGCTGACCGATCATGTTTCCATACATGAGGTAACATTGACACAAAACAGAATATCTGCAGAACGCATGGAACGATTTCCATGGAAATCATTAAAACCACAACTGCAACGATACTGGTCAGAGGGGTCTCACAGCAAAGCCGAAGTGCGGTCTTGAACGCAACCAATGTAAATGACGCTATCCAACAGGAAGTTATCACTTCAATAACACGAGATCGAGTCATAAAAGTTATGTATTTAAAAGGCTTTACGATGGCGATATAACGGTCGAGCACCAGAGAACTCAAGTTTAAAACAGACAGGTAGCTAAACAGCCACCTTACGACATCTTTCCATGACGGAAAAGTCTGAGGCCACTCACAGGTGCTTGTAACGTCGCATATAAACAAAGAAGGAATGACGCTCAAACCAACACAGAAATCCGCTACTGCAAGTGAAACAATAAACGCGTTGGTTTTGGTGCGGAGATTTCGTCTGCTGCAGACGAGGAAGATTACAAATCCATTTCCAGTGATGGCAAGAAACGAAAGAACCCATCCAAGAATCCAAAACCAGGTCTCCATCCGTACTAACGGCAGTTAAGAGAAGTTCTTATTAAATACTATTCTCTTTACAACTAAACCAACCTACAAATTGCGACAGGTCTACTACAAATTACGACAAAAGTGCATTAATAAATAAAAAGCCAAGGCCGTCTCTTAAATATCACGTACAGCGCGTTACTAAATTTGCCTGAGAACGTTTCCACTGTTGTCGTTAACTATTCATAAGCGAGAAAATAAAACAAGACAGACAGGAGCCAGCAGCATCACTGTAATCTGCCTAGACTGTTCCGTTTAACTCCATTGCTATACTAAATAGAGTATGCAATGGTTTTCAGTTAATAAATAGAGCAAGGAAAAAAAATAAACTGATCACGATGTGAAACAGGAACACAATGTCGATAAGTTTTTAACGGCAGTTCAACTGTGCAAAAAACACCCTCTTCAAAAAAACTTCTTGAATGTCTAACAGTTAATTAATTATTTATAGAACCTTGTTATTTTATAATCCTTTCAATATGTATATATATACATGGCGCAAGACGCCTGGGGTGTCGATATGATCTTTAAGAACTGTTTCACTAGCTCAGTTATCAATCAATTAACAATATTGTTTAGTTAGATGCCTTCTACTGCACTATTATTTCGTACTGCTAAATTGGAAGGTTTTATTATTCATTCGGCATGCAACGATTTTAATATCGTTCCAGCCACAAGCAACTCGTCTCTCCAATTTGCTGTTGGGCTTCCTTAGCAACCAATATTAATTTCTTTGTCATGATTTCTACAGAATTTAAAGGAAAATTAGCCTTACGCTCGTGTAACCTGGGCGAAAAAGGTGACACATTTGATAGCTATACCTTTTTTCTTCATAACAAGTCATTTTACACTTTACACGATTTTATCATTTCAGTCACACCTGCAAGACTAACCTGAAATAAACATGCACAGGAAGATTACAAAACTACTACATTTCTTTTGTGTTTTTCTCAACAAGGGAATTACTTCATATAACAAGAATATCGTACAGTTAATCTTTCAGTTGGGTTCGGTAAATTCCAGGAATCTATCGCCGTTAACAGAGTTGATTACGAAGACTATTGAACAAACAACCTCAGTATGGAGGAAAATTGGCGCCAAGCCTTATGAAGTCACCGAACCTCGAACTTCTGAACTTGTCAATCTTGTTTTCTCCCTTCAAACTGGTATTCAGAGTGGAAACATCCGTTTCAGTTTGATAAATTGATGGTCATAACCGATGAGCCCGCTGTAGAAAGCGCACGGCTATTAAACCTGGGTTCAAACTGTATCCAAGCAACAAGCACCACATGCTCACGCTATCTTTGTTACTCGATTGATGCAGAGTCTTGCTCGAGTATACCAAAATCGAGCAAGTGAAGCAAAGCGGGCTTTGGTAGCAGCCAGTGTAAACAAAAAATTATACTCTCATGATCTGAAACTAAAAAGTTCCATCCAATAAGAACTTGCGTCTCACACCACCTGTGAAGCTTGATCCTAAGACGTCCTTTCCCTTGTATTTTGTATTCCCTGAGGGTCCAAAGGTTCTTGTTTTCTCTCCTAATGCGCCATTTTTTCCAAATTTCAATTCGCTTTGGGTCCAAGCCTCACACGTTTATTAGTCTTTTACTGAATTGCTCAAGCCTTTCACACTCGTTCATTAAAGACTTGCATCCTATACTACAAGAATGAGTTACGCACGTCAAGTGGTAGGCTTTAGTTTTCTTTATTATTTTCTTTAAAACACAGCGCCAAGTCAGATGCATCCCATAGCAAACAAGAAACACTCCTATCACAAGACCCATCATTATTACTGCAGACCTATCGTGGAGGATTTTAAACGACATCTGATGGTTAAAACGTAACTGTTTTGCTAAGGTGCGTGCTGACTGATCATGCCTGCGTGCGTGAAATATCATTGATGGAAAGCAGAGTGTTAACAGAACACATGGAAGAAACTCAAAAATTATTGTCAGCCAAATAAGAGGGACAGGGACAGGTATTGTTTTGAAATAAAACATATAAAGGGTAATCTTAAGCGCGTAAAAACTAACTGGTATAACCCAAGAGAAGACAATAATTCGGATAATTCGACAGCGAGTCTGAAAGTAATGTATTTTAGAGGATGAACGATGGCAATAAAACGATCCAGTACTAAGACGCATAATTTTACAACAGACTTGTTACTAAGCAACCACCTTATAATATTCACCCAAGATGACCAAGATAGCAAATGTTGAGGCCAGTCGCAGGTGTTTGTAATGTCGCAGAAGAACAGAGAAGGAATAACGCTCAAACCAACACAGAAATCCGCTACTGCAAGTGAAACAATAAATGCGTTGCGTTGGTTTTGGTACGGAGATTTCGTCTGCTGCAAACGAGAAAGATTGTAAATCCATTTCCACTGCAGCGGAGCACCATGGGTAAGAAAATTTGGTAAACTATCCATCCCAGAAAATTTGGTTATGACGTAGCGTACGCCCGTCCGTACACACACTTCATGTAAGCCGATGTCAAATGTCACAATAGATCTTGCACAACTTGACTAGCCTCTTAGTTATGTAAGCCATCCGTATGAGAACGATTAGATTGACAGCTGTCAAAATCAGACATCCGCTGACAATTATCACATGACCGTCTCGCGGGCTCAGATAAAAGATCAGTCGTTTTGCCCCTATATATAAGCTGTTACAATATGTCACACTTACCAATTCAACATAAAAACGAAACTACGCCGGGCAAGGCTGTCAGTTGGCTGATAGTCGTTTAAAGTTACATTGGCAGGCCAAATTAAGGTCGATTGACAGCTGTCAAAATGGGACATGTGCAGACCGCTATCAGAAAACTAATAACGAGGGCTCAGGTTCGGTCAGGTACACGATCTGGCATTTTCCACTACATGCCGGACGGAAATGTCCTACTCACACTCGCAGTCTGTTAATTCGAATATTCGCCATTCTAATGAAGGTTAATTGACAGCTGTCAAACTAGAGTATACGCTGACCATCATAACCTGAGTGGATCGCGGGCTCATATTTCTATCTATTGAGGTCACGTAGTGTTTAAAGATGGAGACCTGGCTCTGGATTCTTGGCTAGGTTTAAAGTTTTGCGCTGATATTTTATTTGATCACGGGCTCAGTTCTTGTCAACTATACTGATTAACTATTAAAATTGACATCTTTGCATGAATTTCAGGGTCACAGTTACTAAATACCCGTAGATGATTTTATAGACGCCCGTGGCGTTTATTTAATTTTAGGGGTCCAATGGCCAAGAGGGAGCGTTTAATAGATGGAGGGAGTTTAAAAGAGGGAAGCGTATCAAGAGAGTTAACTGTAAATAGCAGGATATCTGGTCCCTCCATCTATCGATACGTCTAAAGGCATTGTTAAGCAAGAAACTGGACCGGCAAATTGAATGACTTTACTCCTTTTACCGTTTCCTAGCGTTTCAGAGTATTGAAATGAAATGTAATGAAATGTCTATTAGACAGGGGCGTTATTTAAGAGTGGGCGCCCATAACATCATTTACGGTGCGTGCTTCTATTAGTTCTTTAAATCGTCCTTATTGTAATAACTGCACCGTATTATAACTTTTAATATTTTTGACCCTATTTCTAATTAGTCATGGTGTCGTATTTTGTAATTATAAGTTTTTTTTTTTTTTTTTTTAATAAACGGTAATAAGAAGAGAGAAAATGTGGACTGTCACATGGCAATAGTGCAAAGACATCTGTCAATGAAACGATAGAAAGCGTCAGTCACTTGTGTTACCACCTATCTCAATTCATTGTTAATTTGGTTCGCTAAATATTGCTACGTTAATGTATTCCTAATTACCACAGTTCTTTATTAGAAACTGCGACAGGTGTTACAAATTACGGCAAAAGTTGGGAAAAACTTATTAAAAGGAGAGTTTTTTTTCGTTTCCGTTATCCAATTAGAAGCGAGAAGGTAAAATTCCATATAAAAAATTAAACAGTATACATTTATCAGGAGCGTAGCAAGCGTAGCTACCTTTACGCACGCACGGCACGCACGTGCGTACATGAAAAAGTCGAAGGTCAAAAAAATAATAATAAAATAAGATACGAAAGCGAATAATGAAAAAAAAGCAAAGTATATAAGATAGGTAAAATATAATTATTTTACGTTCACAGTTTGGCTCAATTCATTTAACAACGGATTGTTTAATTTTTAGTTTTAATTACTCCCATTTAAAAGTCGTCTTCCTTTGGTGGATTAAATATTTAATACATATAAATGATATATTTTAAGCCTTAAGTTAGGAAAAGTGATTGACGTGCTTCAGTCCATGAATACAAAAAGACGACAAAGATTTTTTTTCACTTTACACAGTCACGTCATTTCATACAGCTATTTCGAGAACGGTCGTCGGAAGTGCACGCGACAATCCCGAAAGGTATTGTGGGTGGCTTTGAGGGCAATGTTCTTCAAAGAAATTTGAAAGAATGGTACGGAAGGCCACGGACATATGTTTGCGAGTATTAAAGGAAAGCAACAAAAGTAGGTTCGACAGCTTCAGTCGTTACGAACAGTGTATTGATCATATCCCATATCACCTTTCGGTATTGTCACGTGCGCATTTCTTCCGACAACCTTTCTCGAAACAGCTGTATACAGTAAGAACGCTTCGACTTACAATAATCTCACCTTTTGGAACATTGAGCAGGGGGTTGGGGGATAAGGGCATTTGGAGAATTGTGCGTACCCCCGAAAAAATCCTGGTTACGCCCCTGTTTATGTGAGATGCAACATGAAAACACCTGATGGTTAAAGCGTAACTGTTTTGCCAAGGTGCGTGCTGGCTTATCATGCCCGCGTGCGTCAAAAATATCATTGATACAAAGCAGAGTATTAACAGCACACATGGAAGGAACTCGAAGAGGAAATTACACTCATAACTCATGACTCATGACTTATGATTATTGGATATGCCTGCCTTCAATAGCACTGAATCCCTGTAAAAAGTACCAAATA